AGCTTCGCAGGGTAAGGAATACCATACTAAAGTCACCTGTCCTTCTGCTAGAACCCAGGCACAGGTGTGGCACCCTGTGGGACTGGCAACAAGAATCCTGGTGAATGGCCACAGGATATCCATTCCTCTATTTTCTTTAGAGTTGAGGTAATATTTAAGCCACAAGTGAAATGCCACAAATGAAAAGGTAAAGATGGGGTTGGCAATGCTAATGAGGGACAACTTCCTAGAGGTGTTTTGGTAGTGAGGAATCACACCAAAGTCCTGCCATGTCAGGCACAGGGGTACCTCCTCAAATGTTCTTAATGACGAGAGATCGATTGTATCTCCGCTTTACAAAGATGAGAAAGGGGGTCTAAAAAGGATGACGTTCCCCAGTTTTGGTTTTCTTGTTTTGTTTCTTGATCAATTTCTCATCTGTCAAACTGACCCTGCTGCATTTGAAAGTAGTTTGAGACTGCAACACGGATGAACCCCTTGGGACCCACGGGCTCCCCAACATGCCTGCTGCCTCCCAGCACCCTCACCCTGTGCTGCTCCCAATGCAGGGGAGGAAGACAGGGAATCAGAGCAGGTCGGTGCTATGTGTGGGGGCCCCCGGGCAGGGGATCAGGAGGCCAGCCTTCATCTGGACTTGCACGCACACTCAGGGACATTCACACTGGAGGAGGTCTGTCTCGGGGCCTGCTGTGGCCCTTACCATGGCCACAGGCGACCCCTAAAGCAATCTGTGCCCCAAGGTCCTTCAAAGAAGGGAGGGTGGCTGGCACTTGCAGCTATTTGTCCCAGCAGCACCTTCCCCTTTGGTATAGGTGGACTGGATACTTGCCCCTTGAATACATCTTCAGCCATTTTTACCTGAGTAACAAGAGGGACTCCTCCATCGTAAGGGGAATGGTGAAACAGCAGCTCGTGGCTAAGCCTGGATGGAAGCACTTGCAACAGGTATGGTAGACTCCCTGCACCCACAGGAGTTCCATTCCAAGACTCCCAGTGGATGCCTGGAAGCACAGATAGTACTGAGTCTTAGAGATGCTTGTTCCTATACGGATATGGTATCTATGATAGAGTTTATCTGAAAAATTGCCACAGTGCGAGACAAAACGACTAATAATAATTTAAAAAATCATTAGAATAATACACTGTAATATGTTATATGAATTTGGCCTCTTTCTCTGTGAAAATATCTTACTGTGGGGCCAGCAAGTGGTATAGTGGTTAAGGCACTGGACTCCCACAGGGATTTGAGTCCTGGATCCAGGAGCTTGAAACCCACACTAGGTGCCATGTGTGTGTGTGTGTGTGTATGTGTGTGCCCTAAAATCCCAGGAGAATGAAGAAGGGATTGTGGTGTAACCATCCCACTTTGGGAGTGAGTTCTCATTTCCCCTCTCACTGTCTCTGTTTCTCCAGTGAGCACACATGCCCTATGGTAAAACTTTAAAAAAAAAATCTTGGGGCCAGCAGGTGACATAGTGGTTACGGGTGCTGGATTCCCACATGACCGACCACAGTTCAAGTCCCAGACCTGGTGGGCTTGCTTTCTCACTTTCTCTCTTTCTCTGTCCCTCTCTGGTCAAATAAATAAATAAAGTAATTCTAAAAAAACAAAACAAAACAAAACAAAAAACAACTTATTGTATTACAGTAAGATTATTGTTTTCAGACCATGGTTGACTATAGGTAACAAAAAACATGAAAAGTACAACTGCAGATAAGGGAGGGGGGGCTTTATTTTTCCCATCTACCTTTTTTAAAAAAAAAGTCTATTTCTTCAAAGAAAGAGACACCCCCTGACAGGGTCTCCACATTGTGATCCACCCCCAGTCTCAGCTGGCCTGGATTCTGGGCATGCTAAGAGAGGACTCAGGGCCTTTCCAGTGAGTCTGGCTGCATTATCCCTATACCACCACTGGCCTGCCCCATCTGCTTTAAGTGACTGTAATGAATACCAGCAGATTACCACTAACTCGCATGCAGAAGCCAGGCTGTTTGGATTCAAGTTCTGCCCTGTCAGAACCTAGCCTACCTTTCTTTGCCTCAGTTTCCTCACCTGAAAACTCTTGAGATGACAGCGGTACTTGACTCATAAGGTTGTGAAGATTAAATCAATTTGTATAAAATATTTAGAATGACTGGTATAAAAACTGCTGAATTGTACATTTTTAAAGGCCAAATTTTATGTTGTGAATTATAGCTTAATAAAAAGGAGGGAAAAGATACCGCTGATTGAAGGGGTTCCCTCTGTTCACACCTGGGACAATGTGAGCATCAAAAGAGAATGACAGGGGGCTGGCAGGTGACATGGTGGTTATGGGCACGGGACTCCCACATGGCTGATCACAGCTCAAGTCCTGGACCTGGAGGCTTGCTTTCTTGCTTTCTCTCTGTCTCTGGCTCTCTGATTCTCTCTGGTAAAATTAAAATAAATTAATACATCATAAAATTAAATAATTCTCTTTTTTTTTAAAGGAGACTGACAGGGCCAGCTTCATGGTGCAGTGGTAACACACTGCTCAAGAGAAGCTAGATCCCACACGAAGACCGTGGTTAGAATCCCTCACCTGGTCAGCCCAAAACAAGCCAGCATGTGTGCAAGCACCCGAGATCCCACAGGCTGGAGGGCTGAAGGAAGGGGATTGTGGCTTGACCAGAGGCCCTGTGGAGAGTGCTTGTCTCTCCCTGTCTGTCTCACATGTGTGCACACGAACTATATCATGAGAAAAGAAAAAAAGAATGACAGTTATAGCACTTTAAATTAAAAATAAATAAATAAAAACTAAATTCATAGTGGTAACAAACCAAAAAAGAGAACACTTCCTCTATAGATGAGTACCAAAAACCTGATGTAGGAGGAATGAGGAGGTAAGAAAACTGCCCTAATGAACTTTCACTGTGCAAGCTGATTCGGGCCAGGCTCATAACTGGGTACTCCATGGTATCATCCTATGGATTGAGATTTGAAGGACATTTTAGCCAAGAGATCAAACCGAGCATCACCAACCTGATGTGACACACTGGAACACACACAGCTTTACTTAGGAAGAATGCGGCATTCTTGCAAAAACCATGAGGAAACAAGCAGACACATCCAAAATGTGAGACTTCCCATAAGACAATGGGCCTGGACTCATCTTACATACTGAAGAGTAAAACTACCCTGATGTTTAAAACTTATTTTAAACGAGGGGGAAAAGTGTGTGTGCGTGCACATATACGTGTACAAATATATATGGAGAAAAAGGTGAAGGCAAGATGGAGAGAGAGGAGGAGAAAAGGAAAGAAAAGTATGTATGACAAAAGGTTGGAAATTGGTAAGCTGGGCCAGCCGGTTGCACTGTGGTTAAGGCAGCTGGATCCCACATAGCTGACTGCAGTTTGAATCCTGGACCCCCATAGCTTGAAACCATGCCAGGCACATGTGCTTCAGATCCCAAGAGGAAAGTGGAGGAAAAGGAACTGTGGCATGGCCAGCACCCCCAAGGGGATAGTTTCTCACTCTCTGTCTCTTCCCCCTCTTCCAGTGAGTATATGTTCCCTATGATAAATAAATTAAAAAAAAAAAGTTGTTTTTTAAAAATTGGTGGACCTATGTAAAAGAATATAGTTGTTCAAAACACTTTCAAATTTCCTGTAGATTTATAATTGTTCAAAATTAAAAACTGGAGAGGGGCCAGCAGGTGGCATAGTGGTTGAGGGCACTGGACTCCCACATAGCCAACTGCAGTTCTAGTCCCAGATCTAGTGGCTTTCTTTCTCGCTCTCTCTCTCCCTCACTCACTTACTCTCACCTTGTCCCTCTCTGGTCAAATCTAAATAAGTAAAAAAATAAAGTAAAATAATTGTTTTAAAAAATAAAAATTAAAGATTGGAGAGAAAATTTGTCAACTTCATAAAATAACATTCATGGGACCAGCAAATGGCAAAATGGTTATGTCACTGGACTCCCACGTAGTTGACCGCAGTTCAAGTCCTGGACCTGTGGCTTAAACTCATGCCAGGTGCATGTGCGTGCATGCTCAAAATCCCAAAAGAAGGATGGAGGAGAAGGGATTGCCGCATGGCCATCCCCCCCCAAGGGGTGATTTCTCACTTTCTGTCTCTCTAGCAAGCGTACACACCCTAGAGCATTAAAACAAAAACAAAACTCTCTTAAACAAACAAACAAACAAACAAAACCCATTCAGGCCAGCCTGTGGAGTGCTGGTGAAGGTCACTGGATTCCACCTGGCTCACTGCATGATCAAATCCCTGGCCTGGGGCTTGAGAAACACACTAGGCAGATGTATGTGTGTGACCAAAATTCCAAAAGGAAGGAGAAATGAAGAAGGGATTGTGGTGTGACCACTCCCCATGGCTCTGAGGGGGTACTTTCTCACTATCCCCCTTTTTTCAACAAGCACATGTACCCTCTAGCAAATTAAAAAAAAAAAAAAATTCAACACGCATTAAGCAAGTGTAATAATCAGAAACCCAATTCATACTCAGGACGCTGAAGCAGGATTGCAAACTCCTATCCAGCATGGGCAACATAGTAAGACTGTCTGCAAGAGCCAGGTGTGGTGGCACACACTGTAGCCCCAGCTACTTGGGGTGCTGAGGCAGGAGGGTAGTGACACAGTGAAACCATGTCTTTAAACAAAATATATTTGAGTTTCTTGAGTTTCCGTGCCCTATTTAAATAACTGAAAATTCTCTATGAATCTTCAATGCTTTTAAATTAGCTAAACAAAAATCACTCACCCCAATTCAGACAGTGAAAAATGTATCCAAGAGACAAGAAAATATGTTAGATAACTCAAGAACTCAACTACATTCTGCCCGCAGCCACGATCTTTAAAACATGGCTTTAAAATGTTTTTCTTTATCAGAACTTCTGATACATTTCAAGTGGAAAAGGGATACAATTTTAGCTAGACAAGCAGGTATCCCAGAATGAGTAGCGGACAATGACTGTATCACCAATGGGATGATTTACTATAAAGAAAGTCACCAAAAAGTTGTAAGCAGTCTGGATTCATGTTTATTGAAGCCAGTAATTAGAGACATCTTTTTTTTTCCAGCACTAGAAAGCAAGGTTCCACATGACTGCATACTGCACCCAGATAGAGCCACACCCCTGAACTAAGTCTGGTGGGGATACTCTGCAGTCCTAATTTTAAGTTAAAAACATCAATAAACTTAGTATACAGACGACAGTGAACTTTCACTTACAGCATAAACATTGTTAAGGTCATGATGTACAGAGCAGTCACTTTCAATTTTGTTAAATTAATAAAACACGACAATGTCTTCAGTTTAAATACTGATTTTAAAATGCCAATCCACAAAAAGTGCAAACAAAATAAAATAATCTAGCAGCACACCTGTTGCATTTTTAGGAAGACCAATTCATGGCCTTTACCTCAGCCATTATCTTTAAGGTTGGGCTTATTTTTCTTTGATTTTTTTCCATTTTAAAGACAAACAGCAGATGTATAGCCACTATAATGTGTATAAATAATCATAAAGTTGTCTTTTAGAGTCTACCATACATGTGTATTTTGCAAATAAAATGAATTTTACTTCATTAAGTAAAGGCTGTTTATTATTTGGCCTTTGGTTCCAATGCTTGAAAACCCCAAAATAACAAAAAACATCTTCCCTCTCCCCGCCCCCCAGTAACAACTTGCAGCTCCCCAAAGTTGGTAGACTTTGGCAACCACTGAGCACATGAAGCTATTAATCAGTTTCTTTTGATACTAGGAGCATCCACTTGTCATGAGAACTACAAGTGGTCTCCAAGAAACCTTCCTTCATAAGACAGGTGTCTCAGCATTTCATCAGTTTCAGTACTTCTTACATTGACACAAAAAGTGCTTATTAGTTCAAATGATAAAAAAATGAAAGTCAAAGTTTTGCACTAAAATGGAAGATCACACTGTATCCCTCATAGGCACATGTGCCTTTCCAAGAATTCCTTCTTGTTTCTGAGCTCTTTCATTTTGCCCCAGCTACTAGAGAGGCATGACGTGACCCACTTTCGGTGTGGCCACAAGCTGTTTGGCATCTATTGGTCACTACACCACAGCTGTCTTTCCACAGTCAGTTTGCTGTCATTACCTAGACAACCTGGTCATTGGAAGCCACAATACATTTTTTTAAAAAAAGAAAATAAAACCCGAATTTTAAAAAAAGGAAAAAAGTATATTTCAACAATAAAACTGGCACAAGAAACATTTTTGTGTGTCAGAAAGGCAAGTAAATACTCAGCTTTCTCCTCAACAGTGTTCAGACCTTTACAAAAGCAATTCAAGACAGTCTCTAAGGAGCCTGGTTATATAACATAGGATATTAAGTTACACCCAGTCCTACATTAGTGGTCAGTCGAATCTGGTATGTAAAAGTAATGACATTAGGGAAGTTATGCCCAGACACAGTACAACAAACATTCATATAAAAAAAGTAAACACCACGTAAGTGAACTGTGGTTTTTTTCCCTTGGTTTGACAACAAAGTTTATACATTAAGTTCATGGTAGTGTTTGCATTTAAATGCTCTGTCATACATAAAATTAAAAGTGCCATTTCAAAACCCACAGAAGTCATTTCTAGGATGGTGGTGACATGACAATGTGCATGAATTTGCCCTAAATGGGAAGACATCTGCAATTCTTATTTTCATAAGAAAAAAATGCTACATTTTATGAAAAACACAAGAGAAAAGTATCCTTTCCATTTTCAGAATAAAACATTCACACTTATCTGTCCATCTGATAGCACTGATCAGACCAGGGAGCCAGGACAAGACCGTTTTGCATCAGTGGAACTCCGTGTAGGTCTCCACGGACTGTAAGGCAGGGATTGGTGCAACCAATTAACCAGAGTGCAATCACTTTTAAAACCGCCCCCGAACTTTCTGTAGTATAATGCATTATGGTAAAATGAGAGATTGATCACCCATTTGCTATTAGGAGGCCAGGCTGTGGTGGTTTAAAAAAAATAATAAAAAATAAAGCAGGAGCTATTTAGAAAACACAATTTAAAGTAAACTAATTGTGTAACTGCTGTGACCACGCCCCAGTGACTGCCTGCCCCACGATGCACATGCGTGGAGCCCAGCACCTTCCACGGCACAGGGCCTGAGCCAAGCGCATGGGTCCTGGGCAACAGATATCTTCCCCACTCCTGTGTTAGCGCCACCTGATCCAGGAACCCTCCACTCTTTAACGTGTCTTTCGTAAGTTAAGGATGCATTCAGAACAAGTCTAATTCCCATTTTGCTTAGTGTTTAATTTGGAAATGCTTCTAATTTTAAGTCTTAGACAATGATTATTCGACTTCTACCGAACACACAGTATTCACTAACACTGCTCATCTGCTCCGTCCTCCACCTCCCTCGACGTCCAGCTTCCCCACCATCGCTTCGCTCAGTCCTCCTTCTAGTCTTTCTCTTCCCTGGACTTGCTGCTACTCAATCTGCTTCCCAAGAGCAAGTGAATTTGCTAACACGCAACTGGTCAGACTAACCACCATCTGATCAATGATTTCCTGGTCGCATTTGCTCCACCCTGATACAAAGTGGGCCCCCTCTCTCATTCTTCCTTGCCCTCCACAAGAAGCCCATCTGCGCTTGCTTCCCATGAAAGCCACATGCCTGAGAGTCCACGGGTATCCTTCCAAGGGGTCTGACACATAACCTTCCTAAATGTGCATTTCACACTCGGACAAGCCAATGAAGTTTTTTTTTAAAAGTTCATCTCCCCTGCCCCAAAAACTGATAGCATGTGCCATGTCAGAAAAATCCTGGTCTTAGCAGATCAATTTACATAGTTATTTGGTCATTTGACATATGCACTTTTTAAGGAGGATCAGGCTTCATTTTCTGGTGAAGAGTTTGTTACCATGGAGTCTGGTTTTCGAGTCATTCTATCCAGTTCTTCCTGAACATTTGACAACACAGTCTTTTGTCCTTTAAAAAATAAAAAGCAAAACAAAAAAATAAAACAGTGATGTGAGAATACACAAGAGTTTTTAAAAGGAACATTTACAATTACACAGGCCCCTGTAATAATTTATGATGACATAACCTCAATGAGGAAAGTTTTTTCACTGATTAATGAATATGAGGCAAAAGACCCTATTTCAGCCCTTCTTAATTACTGCTCTCCTAACTACATGTCTGACCCCTGGTGGGGGGTCTTTGTCAAACAGTACAATCTTTCTAAAAACCCTCTCACCACCCCACGCCCTGAGCACTCTCTCTAAAGGTGGTATGTAAGTTTCAGCTGGCAGCAGACTTTCTTTGCCCCAGAAGGAACAGTGTTTTAAGTTTTGTTTCTAATTACCACACTCTAGACTCACACAGCCTGAAAATAAGAATGTAAGACTAAGGCTAGACAGTCCTACCCTCACAAAGTCAGTGCTCATGTTTCCCAGTACTGAAATACTGGAGACAACCTCTATTTCTAGGGAATACACCAGTCCATGGCCTGAGCCACCAGACCAGACTCTGAGTCTCTAAGAACTGGAGCCACTGGAGGCCCTGCTGCCCTGAGGATGGAGTGCTCTCTGGAAGGTTTCCTCTGCCCCGGAAATATCAACTAGGGAGAGCATGTATCGCAGCCCATGAAAAATTAAAAGCAAAGACACTTAAAATGTCCTCTAGCTTCCTAAGAAAATGTGTAAGGGTCTTTTATTTTAAAGACCTCCAAAACATAGATATGCCCTACCAACCCACATGGAAGGACAGTGGATGGGCTGCCACAGAGAAGTGTGACAAGAGGACACACATAGGGAGACTCCCTCTAGTGAGACTGTGACAGTTCACAGGTTCCAGCACATGGCAAGAGGGGGACAATAAAATGAACAAAAGTCCTTATAAAGCATCACAGTAAAATGAAGTAGAACAAATAAATTGTCCATACTCCCCAAGACCATGACCTCCAAGAGAGGGAATTACACTAGGGTCATCATGTACCCTATTTAGGTTCTACTTCAACTCATCCAAAAGTCAGTTCCTGATAATCTGAATGTAAATATATCCCACCTTTTAAAAAAGTTCGTTTATTTCTTCATTGGGGTGGAGACAGAGAAGAGAAACAGAGAGGGAGAAAGAGAAACACCCCAACTGGATCTTTACACCATGATCTGCCCCAAGCCTCAGCCAGTCAGGATCACAGGCATGTGTGCCTGCACCCAGAGTGTACGAGACAGCCTCTGGACATGAACCTGGGACCTCCCATGTGGGCCCAGCATCACAAAGTACAGTGTTACTGCTGCACCAGCACTGCCAGCCCCATGCATCCCGCTTTAAATAAGCTGAGGAAGCCAGCACGGTGGTAGAGTAATTCCACTGAAAGCACAGCACACCGCTCAGTATGGAACAGAAATCTGCTTCCCCGCTTAGCCATTCAGAATACCGAGGGCCCACGGCTCAGTGAAAGCAGACACTTCTGTTCACCTCCCCATCCTTCCAGCAAAGCTCAACCACAAGGGTCACAGGTCTCCAAAGGTCCTTCTGTACCTGACTTCTTGGCTGTGCTCTGCACCCCACCAGCACCAGGACTTCCAGGAGAGCCTGTTTTTTTACTCAACAGGCTGTTGAAGAAGCTGGCCAATACCCCTTCACTTGCTGCATTATCTAAAGAAACATTAAGAAAAACAACATCACACAAACTGGATGACTTGAACAGCAGCAACAAAAAAACCATTAGCCATTTGGAGTGTTATTTTTCTAGGATACTGATAGCATTCATTTACTATGATTCTTCACATACTGCCAGTGCTGCAGCTAACTGTGCGTTAGCATAATCACTAAGTGGAAACACAGTTACATTCTCCGCCAGTTCAGGGGCATAACAGACAACTCAGGTTCCACATCACCTCTCTCCATGCACAGCAATGGTCTGCAAAGTTTGATAGCTCTGCAAACCAACTGTGAAAAGCTCACACCATGATAAAAGATGCCCATGAAACATGTAAAAATTAAACATAACTTTGACTTGACAGTTTTATTGCAGCCATTATATTTGGGTATCACCAAGTCGTGGAATGATGGCTACTTAATTGAACTTGATGAGAAAATAAGGGGGGAAAAATCTCACAACTTGTAAATAGTAAAGATACAAACAAAATGAGAATTAAAAGCACAGATTCAAAATTCACAATTCAAAGTAACTTCCTACTTTGTATTCTGCTCTGAAGGAATCTGCAGGGCTTGAGGTCTCACAGAAAGCCAGGAGCCTGGGCCACTGATTCCAACAATGAACGCCTCCCCTCTGGGAGATGGGAAGTGGAAGGCAGCCCTTCCTCAGGAAGAAAGCAGCTCAGCTTTCATGGGGCTCCCCTTTATGGTCCCAGCTACTAGGCCCAACAGGGCTACTAGGCCTTGGACTAACACACCCTCCACGGAGACAGCATACGTACTTTTGATGTTTGGATCCGGCTTCTTTACTGACGTGCCTGGGGAGGCACTAGGCACACTGGCTGGCCCTCCCCGGCCCTGGGTCCTTGGAGAGCCGGAGGGTCCTCTTGCAGGGGATTCCTAAGTCCAAAACCAGCCCAGATCACACATAGATACAGAAATAATAAAAAATACATATTCCAAAAAAATACATGCTCCTGCAGGGTACTTTTCAGTCTAGCAAGCAGGACTGGGAATTTGCTCCCAAGCCCAGTCCTCTTTCAGACCTCAGTTTCTCCTTAGAGAGGATACCAAGATAACAAAGCCAGCTCATTCTTAACTCCCAGAGTTGTAGTCCTTCACCGACATTTCCTCAGTTTCTACTACGTTCTGGCCGTGGGCCTTTTAGGGAGACCAAATTCCCTTGGAAATACAAAAGCCCACATAAATGTAAGCTCTCACAAATAATGGCATAAAGTTTGAAGTCACCCACGACTCTGTGCCCTGACCCTCTGTTTAGTGTTAGGTACTCACGGAGGCTCTCGTGGGCGTGGCTGGCTGCTTGGCAAGGAGTGACTGCAAAGAGAGGGACAAACTGGCCATTAACCAAGGCCTGCAGAGTGCACTGAAGGTCTGGAGAAAAGCTCACTCAACTATTCCACTAGATGGCAGCACTAACAACCACCAAGACCTAAGTTTTACACTACAAATGCAAGACATTTAAATAGAACAGTTCAGTACATGGTGAAAAAAGCACTCCAAGCAATCAGTTTTGAAGTTAAGCAAGCAAGCAGAGCAGAAAGGAGGAATAGGTGGAACCATCAAACCCCCTGCTGACCTGCCTGTACTATCAGGCAGACCCATGACATACTTAACCCAGTCTGGGTAAAAGAGAATGTAAGCCTGGGTTTTAGTTTTAAATTGTTGGCTTGGGGACACCTGCCTCTCCTCATGTATGAAAAGGGGATTACCTGCCTCCATGCACAGGGCAGTGTGGGGCTACACACACTGAATTTCCATTATTCTGAAATACTGGAAGTGAGGTCAGGTCACCTGGTAAACTGTCAACCTGAAAATACTATGCCAGAAAACAGGCACTTAAAAGACACTAAGCCTATCCCTAATGAAGACTCTACAAGGCAAGCAGATGGTCTGACCCCTACAAACCCTAGAAATAAGAGGGAAA